ATAAGCTAAAAAAGTTCTCGGTTTTTATTTTCATTATTGTTGTTTCATTATTATTACTTTCTTATATTTGTTTATTACTCTCTTCTCTTTTACGTTTCGTTTCTTTCGTTTCATTCGATTTTTTTTTGTATTGTATATTATATTGTTACTTAGTTTCTTTTATATTATTTTATATCAATTGTCGTTCGTCGTTCTTGAGAGAAAATAATCCATATATTTCCTTATTAGAAGTTTTAATTTAATAGTTCAATCGATTTCTTGCCATATATTTAGTTCTGTGACGTTTTACTGTTCGTACTGTTCATATATTTCGTATACTTGTAAATCCCTTTAAAGCTCTGTTCATATATTTTATAATCCATATTCGTTCATATATTCGGTATTAGAATCATTGATTCAAAATTTCTTACTATATACTGTTCACCTTATTTTCGTACAATTGACGTAGAATTGTTAAATTTATTGACTTTGGTTCTATCCATACTCCTACATATATTTCGTATTTTAGATTATCATTACTTTATTCCTTAGACAATTTTTATTTAAATGCATGATGTCAAAAAAGAATATTTATTGTTTGATCGCTTTTTTTTTATAAAATCGATTTATCTGCATTTGCATCAATATTTACTGATCAGAAATTCCCGGTATGCACACATGCTATAATGTGAGGCCTATCAATAACCCTCTTTTGAGATAATGGTTGCATGGTTAAAAAGTGACTATCACGTGAGGGTGATCACATCTAATTTTAATTTGAATGAAAGATATGCACAGTGAACGGATATAACCGTTACACCCATTTTTTTCGGTATAACCAGGTTTTCAGGTAGAAAATTATATTAAAAAAATTTTGTACATCAGAAAACTTCATTATAAATGAAAATTCGTTTTATCCAGGTTTGTTATATCCAGGTTCACTGTGTATTCGAATAATAAATGAAAGTTAACTAGCGCAGCCAGAAAGCGATTTTTTGATTTTGTTGTGTATGAACATCTGGCTTCTTTTCGCACTTATCAATGACTTTGACGACTGGCTTCAAAGAGCAAGTTCTTTACAAATAAGTGTTATCTTTTTCTCTTCTATATAATGTCAATGCGGAATCAAAGATTTTTTTATAATAGGCCAATTTTTATTTGTAGCTCGTCTTCACAGTTTCTGCTAATTCTATATTCTGCAAATTGCTAGAATTTGAGTGTGATTCTTCAGTAGAATTATCTTCGATTATAGTTAACCCATACCTTTTCCAAGGATCATCAAATTGCTGGTATTCTATCAACACCGAGGGTAGTCGTGACGACATGTCGTTTCCTTAAAAGCATTTCACATTTTTTTCGCAATCAAATGCTTACAAAAGAAATAACGACTGTGCAAGTATGCCGGACAAGGACATGTCCAGTTTATTATGTCAATATGGTATCTCTCATTCATATCAGATTCGATATTTGTATTCGCGGCTTTGTCTCAATCCTTCTTGAAGATTTGCTATCATGCTGGAAAACTGTGGTTTGTCAAGTATTGAGTTAGCTTGTGATTAAAATCTGGTATCAGTTGCTCAACGAGAATTTGTGTAAGCCGATCAAGACGAGGTCGGTTATAATTATACTTGTAATTATATTTCAGCACTCGCCAATGACTTTCAGTAATCATTGTGGTCCTAGCCAGGGGTATTGCTGGTGAATATGCTGAACGAGCAAACAGCTTCCAGTTCGTCTTGTTATACCATAATCTAGAAAGATTATGGTTGTGACAAAACTGATATGCTTCTTGTGCACAGTGTTGATAGATTTGTGCAGAATTTCAGGTCATTATTGGGATCAGTGATGCATGTTCGCATGCCGTCTGATTATGTCTATAATTTCCTTGATCTTATTATCTGCACACAAACTTCCGGTATTACTATTTGGAATCCATGATGATTCAAAAAATCGAACTGCTGGTAAGCTTCCCATTGCCTTGTTTTTCGAATAACTAGTGCTTTTAACTTCTTATCCTTTAGGCGTCGACTGATAGCATGTTCCAAATGCCAATAGTAAAGTTGTAGATTTGCTGTCCATCAAGCTTCTCCATAGCTGATATTTCTCTCGCATCCTTATCTGCCAAAACAAATATCGGCAACAATCCCTCATTCCGAAGGTTGCTAAAATACTCAAATAGGACTTGTACTCGAGTGTTGATTTGGCTCTTGGGATCATTATGTTTATCTGTTTTGTCACATGCTGGAAAATATAGATATGCTACTGGCATTCTGTATTCGCCGCAGTTTGCGTTTATGACAAAAAGTTCAAAATGATCCTGGGTTGTTTTGAACGTGGAATCTACACAACATTTATTGCTGCTCGAATACTCATACTGCGGATTGTCATCACGAGAACGGCAGAACCCCACTTTTTTTCTTTGCATGTGAACAGTGATGCACGTTTTCTCATCAGAAGCCAGGCTAGAAATGTCTATGAAAATATATTATATAGATGGTTTATACTTTAATTATGTATTAGCATAGAAAATCACGATAAAATTAATACCTTCATTCGATATTTTTCATTTTAGGTTTGTCGCGTAATCGATGAAGGTTCTCAAAATAAAATTAGAGGAACTAGCAAAATTGTTTATTAAGAAGATCAATATGTTAACGCAGGGAAGGAAGTTAACAAAGTGCATCAAAAATCGTGTAGCGTATAAATAGCTGTCAATTCTCACGCGTTTTGTACAGATCCCTGTATGTGATCTATTTCTTGGAGACCAGGACTATGCGGGATCGTTCAGAATCACACTTTGGTATGTGGTTTTATTTTATTCAGTGTTTCAATGAGATTTGTATAAATAATTTGTAACATGATAGAAGTCCTTATTTTATTCGCTGAAATTTTTATTTTTTCTTTGACTTGGCGAAAGTTTCTTCTTTATATACAAAAATATCTTTATATATAAAAATGTAGATAAAAAACTCACGAAATTTGATATACTGGATGCAAATTATTTTATATCATTGATATCGCGTACTGCATTAATATACCAAATTCAAAAGCTTTTGTCTCATGCTATGCCGACATCGTTCAATAGGTCGGGTAGGTGGCGATTGAAGAATATTTTGGATGATGGGGGAGGGGAACGAGGGATTATGATTACCGTTTAGCACTGTATATAGTATCCAGGGTCTTATTCAAACTTATACTATTTTAATTGAATAATACCGTGTAGAACTGGATATTTACACTACCTTCAATGGACAGAGGATCACAACCTCGTATATGCAACACTATCTTCAATGGACAAACACAAACGATAGTTTATCCACCTGATCATCCAATGCAAAAGATTCGCAATCGGCCCAAAGGAATACGTGCAATTCTTAAAAAGAGAAGTTTATTACCAAACAATATAAAAATCAACGGTGATTGCAAGAACAAGGATTCAACATCAATTACCTGTTGCATGCGTCACATGCTCGCGGCTCTACCAGATTTTCAAATACAAAGAACTATCCTTAAAATCCAATGCTTCGGGCATGGTTAATTTAGTTGTGGATCAATATCTAGTTGTAGTGTTGAACGAAGTTTTTCATTATATTATACTTTTTTGAATAGTGGCCGACAAAATTTGTCTAAAGATTCCTTAAAGCATTAATTATGATGTTAATAAGCGGATCAAAGAACTATATATCATCACATACAAAATTTTATACAGCACCGCTTCGTCCCTGACTTGAGGTATACATCGATATCGGTATCCGTATGTAAGACAGACAGACAGACGAGATGACTATTGACAGACGGACACGCAAAATATTATCTTGCACTGTATAACAAAAAACAACAAGACACATAAAATAAGATTGTTAATTGTATTAGGTTTATTACTTATTTAACATCGGTATATGTAAGACACGAGATGACTTTCTTTTGACGAGTGGTACCTATTTGAGTATGGTATATTTGAGCATGTTGGTATGGTATGGTTGAATATGCTAAATATTATCAACATGCTCAAACATACTATACCTACTCAAATGCTATATATACATATATATATTATGCTAATCAATTTAGTATGATATGACTCAAACAAATTATATCATACTGAAATGGTCTACCTCCCATTATGTGTCTCGTTTCTTATTAGTAATTTCCACCTCCCAGTATGTGTCTCATTTTCCATTAGTAAAATTAATCATTTACTAAAACTTTTTAACTAAATAAAAAATTTCAATCTTATCCTTTGCACTTTCTAATTGCAATTTCATATGCTGTAAGTGCAACTGTTTTTAAGCAGCTTGTAAGGCTCATCACTTGTTTTTTTTATTAAAAAAATTAATCTTTCTATAAAAGTGAAGTGTAGAAAGTGTGATAGTAATAATTATAGAAAAGGAAATAATAAAAAGTGTAAAGATAAAGGAAGAAATAGTAATAAGAGATATAGTAAAGAAATAAAGTGATAATTATATTAATGTTATTACTGAATATTATTTTTCTTTCATGTACTATTTGTAATCAATAAATATATAGAATATAAAAATAGTGAAAGTAATAGAAATAGATATGAAAATAGTATAATTAATATTATAATTTTATTGAATATTAGCATCTTATTTTTATTATTACAAATATTTGATTAATATAAAGAATCTTTAGTCTTATTTTTATTATGATCTTTCAAAATTTTCAAGATAAGTATATTATAATTTTCAAAACTCTTTCCTAACTTATCAGTAATTTTTTCAACTTTCAACTCTTTAAAATACTTAATATTACTTAATTCAAGTTTGTAAATTTTTGCAGCTTTCTTTCTAATCATAATTTTCATATACTCTAGAAGTAACTTTTTTTTAAACTTTACTAGTTTTATATTTTTATTATTATTATCTTGTATAATTAGAGTAGTTCATGATTTTTTTTGTTTTTTAAAACTAGTTGAAACTTATTATTTTAATGTTGTGAGAGTATCAAATATTATGAAAGTTTCAGATATTATAAAAGTAGTAACTAGTTCTTTAGTTTGCTTATTTACTAAAAAAAATAAATTTAAATTTGATTAATTATGATAATTGAAGAAAAGTATAATAGAATATATATAATAATAGTAATTATAAAAAGTAAGTATTATGAAAGTGATAAGAAGTATAGAGAGAGTAATGATAGTAATTATAAATAAAAGTATGTAAAGAGTTATCTGATATGAAGAAAATAATAATGATATTTAATAATAATAATTATAAGAAAAGAAAATATAATGATAGAAAAATAAAAATAATATAATACTGAAATAATAATAGTAAATATATAAATATATAAGAAATATATCATTTTTTTATGTATATAAGTAATATGATTAATTTTGCTTTTTCTTTATATACTATTTAATATGCTGAAGAGATCTTATATTATTATAGTTATAAAATAATAATTATTTAAATATTAATCTTCTTAAATAATAATTTAATTATAAAATTATTAATATAAAATAAAAAAATATTAAAATAAGATGAGTACATATCTAAAAATTACTATTAAAAATTTTAAATATTTTTCTTCTTGATTAATATTAGAATGATAATATTTAATATATTTTCTAAAAAAATTTAATAAATTTTGAAAATACATAAATAAATATAATTTAAAAAAATCTTTATCTATCAATTAGAATAAAAATTAACTTATTCTATATAAATAAAAGTAATTAGTAATAATAAAAATATAATATAATAAGAATTTAATTTATCTTATAGATTTGTATCTCTAATTTCTAATATATAATCAAATATTATGTTAATTTCTTCTTTTATAAATATTAATTATAATAATTTTGATTAAATTATCTTTCTTTTAATTTAAATCTTTATTTTGCATTATTTATATTATAGATTAGCTTTATATTACTTTTTTTTAAAGATCAATCTTATTCTGAATATACAAATAATTATTATATATTTAATACATTAGATTTAATATATTATTATATAGATAATTATCATATGTATTACAATTATTAATTTAGATTATTAATATTTTTAATTAGATATTTCTTTTAATAATTCTTTATATTTTTACTTGTTTTTTTTATTTATTATTTATATTATTTATAATTATTAGATTATAATTAGTTACTTTTCAGAGATATAAATTAAATTAATTAATTCTATTCAATTTATATGTATTTTAAAATAAATTTTTATTATTAATTTATTTGTTTTTATATTTATTTCTTTTATTATAAATAAGCACTATCTATTTTGTAATTTTTCTTCAGATTTGAATATTTTTAAATAATAAAAATAATTATAAGTTATAAAATTAAAACTATTTA